ATCCTTCCCATAATGTACAGGCAAAACAAAAACAAATTGAGAATTTTTTTTTTTTTGGTTTGCTTTATAATTTTTTGGGAATATTTGTTCACATGGATTTCGCGATTAGGTCGAATATTTTTCATTTTTGTTGCTATAATTTTATTTTTTGCTCTCTATATGTATTGTAAATGCGCTATTGTAAAAAATTTCAATTTGTATTTCTTATTTTGCTTTCTATTTAAGGTAGTAGTGGATTTGTTGATCACTTTTGCATATTCGTCTATTTCTATTAACCTTTTTAAGTAGACTTAAATAAAAAAGGAAACATTGCGAGTAAAATATTAGCAATCTACATAAAACCAAATTTGTGCCTTTCAAGCGATTAAACTCCAAAGGGGCAGTTGACTTTTATGCAACGCAATCTACAAATTGTGTATGTAAATGTGCCAGTGCAAGGTGTCTCACGAATGCGGTACACATAAATTGAAATTGACAATGTTCAAGACAAATAATTACCATACAGTTTTATATGCTAATAAGAGTCCTTAGAACAAATCATTGGTAAAATACGAGCACATACATATGTACATATGTACATAGATATTTATCCAATTATGTTGAGCTTATTTTGCGTAGCCGAAAACATATCCATATTTTTGGATTTTTAACTTTTCATCACTGTTTATTGTTATAGTAAAATAATGTTTGCAAGTGTTTCAATATGATTGTGGATATGGATGCAGATGTACACTAGCATGTAATAAGTATGTATATGTGTGTGTGTGTGTGGCATTATAATTTGCTTTAAAGTAGTATACATTACATTACTAATTAAAAATAATTTGCATTACTTACTGTATTTTTTTATTATTTAAATTTGCGTTATGATTTTGCATTATTTTAGCTCAATGATTTTTACTGTTTAGTCATTTTCGTCTCAACTTTCATTTTGAATACTCTTTTTTGTATCCAAGTATATGTATGTATTTGCGTAGTTTCGTTTTACATTAAGTGTAAACTAATCAAAGAAGTACTTTACGTTTTTTTTACTAGTTATTTAATTAGATGTACTTTTACTTGCAGTTACTTTTTGCTGGGGAAAAATGCAGAAATAAATATTCTTTAATGATAAATTAAGTAAAAATTATTTTTAAACTAATATTATATATTTTTTTTTTAATTCAAGAAGGTGTTTATTTTGAAGACCTCCTCAATTATTTAAAAAATAATGTGGTATGAAGAATAAAAAATAAAAACCAAATAAACTTGTGAATTAAAAGTGTAAAGTGAAATGCAAATTCAACAGAAGGCGGCAGCAGTAGTACACAGCCTTAATCTGAGGTTAAAGCTTTAGGACAAGCCAAAAAGCACTGTGCCTACATTGTATCGTAACTGGGTATTTATTTGTTCAGTGAGTAAGTTCAAGGCATTTGTTACTAGTACATAGCTGAAATTTTTGGAACGCAGCATGTCTGCGCTTCTGTCGGTAATCGCTTTCCTTAGCATTCATCGTTCGACTGCTTTTATTTTACTCTTCTGTTTAATTTCCACATTTTTGTTTTTTTTTTCTTTGTTAAGGTGTTATCTGTAAAAATTTTACTTAATGTTAAAGAATGTGATCCTGCAATGCTGCGCGCGCTACTCCGATCATTCGTCTTGCGGCACTTTACGTTATTTTTTTAGGTTTGTGTCTTTTCTCCTGCCCCACCGGCAGCGCGCATTCACTCTATATGCTATATTTTAATTACGCTCTAGTTAAACCGCTTATCCATTGTAACTTATTCGTTTCGTACTTTCTTCAGCTCTGGTGGACTGTGTGCTTCATCTGATGTTAAGATTCCGTCGACTTCGCTGCCACCATCGGCGCATTGCAATGCTCGCTTCTGCGCCACAACGGCTCCGACAACACTGCTGAGGGCGGTATCGTTGTTGGAGTCGCTAGCGATGGCTGTGGTGTAATTTATAGCATCATTACCGCCAAACACTGGCGTTATTGACTTGTGGCTCTGTCCGATGTGGCGGCTGTTGCTGTTACTGCTTTCGTCCTCTGCGTCTTCCTCATCTTCCTCGCTCCCTTCCTCATTTCCCGTTGAACGCAAGCAACTGCTGTTTTCTCCATCACTACCAGGTGCAACCAAAGTCGCTAAAGTACCATTTCCATTACCGTTGCCATTTCCTACGACCGTAGCGGCAGCTTCCTTCTGCGGCTGTTGCTCACAAGGTGGCCAATGCCTTCAATGTCGCTATTACTATTTGTGTTTGTATTTATGCTGCTATTACTGTTGTTGTGTTTAAGTTTAGCCTTTTCTGGTGCCTCCAAGTTGCTCTCTGAATCTGAGGCGAGTGGTGTGCCAACTTCGCCATCGTCGGTTGAGGTTGTAGCAGTGGTCTGTGTGGTGTTCTCATCAATGATGGGCTCTTGTGAAGTGGAGTCGTTTGAAACAAAGTTAGAATCGCCATCCTGCAAAGCACTAGCCGCTATTACAATGGGTGCTGTGTTGGTGTGATCATTTTCAGCTGAAAGTAAATTTTTTTCACTCAAAAAAAAACGTAAGCTTAAAAAGGTAAAATAGTTTTGACATCCCACCTGCACCTAAACTTTCATCATCGCCGTCATTTGTATCGTCAGCCTCACCACTAATTATTTTAGCTGCCTGTGTTGCTGCCTTTACTGCACTACCATTGGTATTTGCACCGCCACCAGCGCCTGGTCCGGGCATTTCATCCAACAGCTCTGGACTCAAGTCATTCGCAACATAATGGGCCCAGAGAGCCAGCTCCACGCGATGTGGCGACCAAAACGGTGTTTCGCCGCCAGCCTCGGTATTTAGGCGTTCAACAGTAGTCTGAATGTGCTGCACAAAATTGAGGTACTCCTTGGTGGTATAATCAATACCCTCGATTTCTGTAATTCAAAGAAACCAAAGCAATTAAACTGCGCAAATACTAACGTAAATGTTTTCTTAGTTTGTATATTTCTTCTATTCATTTTACTGGGTATATTATATTTGTCACTCTAGCCTAACGCTATTTTATTTACTTTTATATGTCCAAAAGAATAATGAAATCCTTTCAATACGTACCTGGAATTGCCATTAGGCACTCATCTGCCATGAATGGCGCTGAATCAGGTGCAGCAGCTGCCAATAGCGCCGATGCCATGGTGGTGCCAACCCCTTTGAGATTTGAGAGTGCCGTTATGGCCTGTTCAAGATTGGGCAGCTTACGGAAAGCTTTCTTTGTCTCCTGCATAACAGCGCGCGGAGTATTTACCTAAAAAAAAAAAAAATATATATATTTTTAAGTCATCGATAACTATTTTTTTAAGACTTATATAATAGAAGTTTTTTCATAATAATTATCAGCGAGATAAATATTTTTAAGTCTTCAAAGACTTTTATTTTGAGACTTATATTATAAAAGTCTTGTCATAATATTTATCATTGAGATAAACTGCTCCCCAACTTGTCCCGAATGGTCCCTACCTAGCGCCGAACTGGTCCCCAACTAATCCTGAAATGCTCCCGTCTTTTAAGACTTAAAAAATTTCTTCGCGCTCATAATTATTATAAAAAAACTTTTATAATATAAGTCGAATACTAAAAAATATTTATCTCTCTGATAATTATTATGAAAGGATTTTTATAATATAAGTCCTTGAATAATAATTATAGATGACTCGGAAAATATTTGTCTTAATATATTGATTAATGATTGACTTATTCTTTTCTCTTATAATAAATACCGTGGCAATTTGATGAAATCAATATGTCGGACGAAAAATTTTGCCTTAAAAGTTGATTTATGGGGAATTGAGCGCCACTTGTATCAGCTCACGTCGAGCGCACGTTTAGTATATCCAAGGCCTTTCTTCGCGAAAATGTAATGAAAATGTTGCCAGAAAACTTCAAAATGCATCTTGTGGTTAATTGTTACTACAACTATAGGGATTAAAGTTGTAGGAGTAAAAAACTCGAGAGGAGAAAATAGTCAAAGGATCATAGTACACATTTTTCATATAATGAAACTGGTTCATAGTTTTTCTCTTTTTACTTGTAAAATAAAAGTTCCTGAAATATACGTATTTTTGGTTTATTTTTCGGGTTTTTCTGTTTTTAGTGCCTTTATTTGCCTTTTTTTGCGTTTTATTAAGTTTGGCTGCTATTTAATGTTTATTAATTTTTATAAGTCAAGCTCCGTATTTACTAAAAACCACGATATAACGAAGTTGGCGGAGTTGGACCAATGCCTCGTTATAGATAATCAAATCCTCGAATCGAAAGAAATATCCAAATTTTAAATTCACTCAGCACCATTTATTTTTTTTTTATCATTCAGTCCTTAATTTCCGCGTACATATTGTACGTATAATTGGGAATATCAGTTTTGAAAGCAACATGTTTATGTTGTGGCACTTTGTCGAAAAATTCTTGGATTACAGCCAAAAATGGATCAGCGGACTGTTTGTAGGTATTTAAAAAGTTTAAATTATTCTCTACCGGTGTGCGGATAGTTTCATCTAAAGTAGCATAACGTTGGGCATGTGAACTTAAAGTCAAGCTGGGATCCACGGTTGCGGAGCTTGTGGCTATAAGGCAGTGTCTACACACTCCCCATTTTCCTGGCTGGTAGCCTGTTTAGCGAAAAAAAATTAAATACTTCAATTTCTCTTGAGGGTGTGAGAATACCTTTTTTTATAAAAGCCAAGTAAAATATTAATTAGAAAACTGCATATCGCTACCTAAATTCAGAAAGGCCTAACCAAACTTTTTTCGAAACTGCGTTTTTCAAGATGTATTAAAATACACCTTCAGTTAAAATTTTAAAGTGCTAGTACCAAAAACAACGGAGTTTCATGCCACTTTTAAAGAGCCTATTTGTTTTTGATACTCTTTTTATAATGTTTTTTTTTGCTTCTCCTGGAAAACAAAAAAAATGTTGGTTAGGGCCTTTGTGAATTAAGTTAAACGATATCATTTCCAATTATTACCTTCCATAAACTATACATACATATGTACTTACTTTCGCAATATCAAAAAATAGTAATACGTTTTCAAAGAACAGATGTAGAATAAGAAAAGTAATTATTTAACCATATTGAACTCGCAGGACTCAAAAACACCAGACTAGAATGTTGCAAATTTAAATTTAAGCTTTTCTAAGCCACTCGGGTTATTCCATGATTGTGGGAGTTTGACTTGCATTGGCCTGATGTAGCTGGCGTGCTGTTATCTGAAAAAAAGTAAATTTTCAAACATATTTTTAAAGGATTATAACATACATATCCGTTACCTTAATATAGAAAGGCCCCCCCTCACATCGTAGCTGAAATGCAAAAATGCCGTGACTAACTAAAAACGATGTGGCGACTTTTTAATCGATTCTATGTATCACAATCAATCAAAAAGGGACTTTGTAGTTTTAGTTAGTTACGGCTTTTGTATTTCAGCGACGATGCGAGATACGATCTTTCTATATTAAAGTAACTATATACACCTACATGTATGTAGTTGGTAGAATGCTTTCTATCTTGTTCACATTGAAATTACCTGATAATTGAATAAATGTGTTGTGGGGTGCTGCTTTTAGAAGTAGTAAACAAAAGAAATGCAGAGCTCATGTCTTTGTTTTCAACGGTGTACAAACAATACAGGTGGATAGATTTTTTTTTAAGAATTAGTTACATTCCTAAGAGCAGAATTGAAGTTGTTTAGCCATTACGTATAAAGATAGCTAGCACATACATACTACAAAAATTCACTTTGGAAACGACATACAAACATATGTATTAGCAGCTTCAAATAATTGCAAAAGCAGTTAACACGATCCAATTAGCCACATGTCAGAAGGTATACATTTATAATATTTATTGTATGTATGTATGCAAATAATTTGCTTGACTTTGTGGTAATGTTTATTTATGAATTATTAATGTTAAGGCATGCTTATGTTGTTGTAATGTTCGCAAGTAGCAAATAAATGCGCTTTTTAATCTTAATTGGTATCTAAATCTTCCAGCCGTACCGGATGTGTATATGGTATAATTGATTTCTTTTCCACGTCCCTAGATAAGGCCTTCCTCATGTCTAAACAAAAAAAATGCATTGTATGTTAGTCAAGAAAATAAGAATATAATATGAACTTTTCCATGCATACCATAAGCGTCTTCGTCATGTTCGCCTGCATAGTAATCGAGTATGGTGCGGTAAATTATATAGCCCAGATTTTGGTACATATTTATTGCCACCTGATTGCTCTTGCGCACGAATAGATCAACGAAGTAGGCACGTTTTCTGAAGATATATGTATAAGACATAAAGTAAATACATACTGATTTTTTTTTAATACTCAAACATACTTTTCAGAGATATCCTCTAAGAAATTCATCAGCAATGCAGCCAGACCTAGACGCCTATAATCAGGTGAAACCGTCAATGCAGTTACATGGCCATGCCAATTTTCCATGTGTCCTTCTACCTTTCCCATAACTGCGCGAGAGAATAAACAAGCGGTTAGTGAACATCCCACGGCTTTATGTTTTACATACTTACTATAACCCATTATTTGACCACTTGGCGATTCGGCCACTTGGAAGTATTCAGGCCATCTAGCCAAATATTGTGTGTAAAAAGAAAGCCCATAAGTTTCTGTCAATGGATCGAAGTTGCTGTAAATTAATAAATATGGCATAATTTTTATAAACTCTTAGGCAATGGCTGAGCTAGAACACTTAAAAAACTCCACGCAAAACGTTGCACTCACACATTATTGAATTTGAAGAGATCATCGCAAGTGAATGGACGCAGCGTAGTCATTTTTTAATGTAAATTTTTTAATATTTTAAATTTTTTAATATTATAATCACAATTTGTGATAGAACGATACGAGAACCGAGTACAGTAGAGGTGCAAAACTATCGATGGCACTATCGATAGTATCGATGTTCTTTATTTTTCCCTACTATCGATTGTTTTTTGGTCCTATCGATAGTCCGACAGACATGTGATTCGGTATTTATTTTAGTTTTATTTCTTCTTTTCGTTTCTCTTAAACATCCAAGTTGAACTAAAAATTTGGTTGCTACTTTTTTAAAAGAGTAATGTCAAATTTCGAAAATGACGCAAAACCTTGCATCTTTTAAAATACCGCTAAAAAACTGATACAAATTAATTTATACCAAAACTTTCCATATTATCTACCACCACTATTTATTATTTATGAAAAGGTAAATAAAAACCATTACTTCTCAGATAAAAAATGGTTTCTTCTTCTAAAATTGAAATTTACTTGATACCTTATATATGACGGAGGATATCTAAAACCACAAATATAAAATTTCAGTATGCCCAATTTTTTCCATTTCAATTCATTTCAAATTTTCAATAACTTTACTTCTAACTTAAGGGTTAAACAATTAAAAAAAGTGTACAGTAGTTTACAAGAATATCCAAACGTAGTTTCGAAATATATTTTTAAGGAAATCTTCATACGAAAATTGAGCCAAAACCATATAAATACGATACTATCGACGATATATCGATAGTTTTGAAAATAATCTCGAAAACTATCGATGGTCTGACTATCGATAGTTTTGCACCTCTAGAGTACAGAACGTCGATACTTTTCATGAGTACTGAGTAGTATCGATAATTTTTGGCAAGTACCGAGTAAAGATTGCGAATACTAAACAGTATCGACGAGCTAAAAACGCATGAACCAATTAGAACAGAATCGAAAACAATTTACATTCGAACGCCTAACACTTTTATAGTACCAAACTTTCGAATTCGAACAAATTTACTATCGATTCGAACTACGGAGTATGGGCCCAGTTCTGACCAATTGAGAATCAATCATTTGTAATAGCAATTAAGAAAAAACTGTGTGAGGTTCGTAATTTTGAAGTTTGCTATTTCTGTTTAGCTTCTTTATTTGTATTTTGTCGGTGGTTTATTTCAGTAATTTTTAAGCGATTTTAAGTACCAAATATCAATAACAAAATACACGGGATTTTTACTTATATGCTTATACTACATTGAAATATAATATAATATAATTTTCGAGTTTTACTCCCTCTGTAATTAAAGAAATGGATTAGCCATACAAAATTCCTCCCTCCATAATCTGTAGTTATAAAATAATCTCAGAGTAAACCGATAACTTTTCGGTATCCATCCTAGTTTCATCGATTATTTTTGCGCTGAAGAGGGGAAATGCCAAATGTAAAAGTAACACCCAATTTACATGATTCAAGTACTTGAAAGCAATTTTTGATCATTATCTTTTGTGTTTTCTATTTGCTTTTACATGCTTCAATTCTGTTGAATTATAGTTTTTGGTTCTTTAAATAAGAAACCTCGAAAATTTCAAAAGCAAAGCAAGAAAGTTGAAACGACTTGACCGTACAGACGCATGCGTACTCGTCCCTTTTCTTCTCACACTCTCTCTTGCATATGCAAGCAGAATTGAATTCAACACTTGAACTGTGTAAAAGCAGTCATACTTGAACTGTGTAAAAGCAGTCTAAACAAAAATGGAAGCTGGCAAGGAAAAAGGTTTATAAAGGTATTTTTTAATAAAATATTAAGTTTAAATATTATTGAAATTGCTAATATAGCGGTAGGGTGGTACAGAGAAGAAACGTAACTTTTCCTTGAGATATGAGAATAACAAGCACAAAAATTTTACGGCTAATAATCTGAGCCTGTGTAAACATGGTGATTAAAAACTAGCTTTGATTGAGATTATGTTTATATCTAAACATACTTTTATATGGATGCGCCTTGGGCACTGCCTTTTTATTTTTCAGCAAAAGTGCAGTAAAGCAGTAAATTTAATGCAATTGCAGTAGGGTGGGAACACTGCTTGCCCCATTAGTTGCCCATGCACGGTGCAGCGAACAATTCTATTAATTGCATCATTCTTGTTGCCTATGTAGTTTTAGGCTGTGTGCGAGTTGACCTAAATTTTAGTACCTAAACTAATATTCCACTGGAAATTTCCAGCACTGCTACAATTAAAGCTGAAATTAGTCAAGAACGTAAACCTACCGGTACGTAAACCCGAGTCAGCTGACACGATCTGTCTTACCATAGCGCCATCTAAATGAAAACTCAACACCGCATAATTTTTCTGTAGTTGTAGCCCCTAGCGCAGAAAGCTGCGGAATTTAGATTTTTCCGTGTCAGCTGATTTCTTCCTTCTATAGACTGTTGCCACTTCGTCAGTTTTGCAGATGGTAAAAAAGTTATAATTTCCTATTCAAAATACGCGTAAACTATTTGAAATTTACTAATGAATAAGGTTTTTTTGTTGAAAACTAAGTAGTTTATATTTAGCTACGATCTATTATAGCACGAAAAATTGTAGTTGAAAAGGTAGTTTATGAAAAGGCATTGATCAGTGGCAACACTGTAGTAAGCAACACTGAGGGCTCCAGTAATATACAAAATTCTGCGTACACAGACTTCAGTTAACGCTGAAATTAGTCGAGAACGCAGAACGTATACTTAGGGCCATTTTCACCGTCTCTGGTTAACACTAAACCCCAGTTAAACATCGTTACCAACGTTACCGACACAACGTTATATGCATGGAATCAGTAACGTCGGCAACGAGGTTTAACTGGGGATTAGTATTAACCTGAGATGGTGAAAACGCCCCTTAGGGCCGGTTGTTCAATGTCTCCGTTTAAACATCATTACTAATTTTTGTATATGGAAAAAATGTGCGACACCTTCAACAAAAAAATTTCCCGCTTTTCTTTTTGGGGTTTTTGTTGTAGAATTAACCATATTTTTATAAAAAATGAGCGAAAAATAAAATATTTAAAAAATAGTTGCCCGTATTCTAACAAATTCGCTGTACCTAAACTTTATTGACTTTCTGTATATGTAAATGAATGGATCTTTTTTGGTTCATGTTTTTTTGGTTTAATTCATTTTTTAATTCTGAAATTCATTTGCTTCTGAGTGTATTTCAAGAATCTTCAATAAATTTTGCCTGGCAATGCCGTCAGCCATCGTTCGCTCGTCTTTCGCTTCTCGGTTTCACTGTTCGTTCGCTGCGAAAAGCATCGTGTCGCGTTTGGCGTTTTTAAAGTAAATTTTGTCCAGTAAAAAGTTGAATATATAAACAATTTTTAAGTTAAAAGTGAGCAAAAAACTCCTAGAAACGTTTGCAATAAATGTAAAATCGGCTTGGGAATCGTGAAGATACTAAAAGTTGAAAGAAACGAAAGTTGGGCAGTACACTTACAGGAGCGGTATACTCGTTCCAAGGCGGGCATGGCACGGAGACCGTAGAACGGCAGCACGGCGGACGAGCACCAGCGAATTTGATGTTAAAGCGTAGTAGCTGATAAAGGCTGTGAAAAGTATAAATGGCGAAGATGAAAAAATTCAGTGCCGGAAATTTCAAAGCAATTGTGGCTAGTTCATTGCAGCTAAATTGCAAAAGTTTTTTGTGAGTTAATGTGACAGATTAGGAAAACTGGCGGAACGTATAGTAAATTAACAATTTGAATAAAATTTTTGTTAAAAAAAAAACTAATATAAAGAAGTGTGCTAGACTACCAACGTTACAACACAAACAATAACAGGCGCTGGCATACGCGCACCAACAACAAACCGCTGTGGATTTTCGTCTCGTGCGCCACGCACCTTTTTCTTCATACAAAAGTCGAATTGTCGAAGCCATTCGTTGAGCTACATGCACGTTCGTTGCTCGCTGACAAATGTCGGCTGACGGTCGAAAACGTATTTCTTAAATTTATTTTATACAAAAATATACAATGGTAAAATAGTAATTTGTGCTAATGGTTATTAAGTGAAAAGTGTAGACATTAAAAAGTATTCTTTTGGAGAAGGGATTTAATTCCAACAAAATCAACGCAGGGCACATACACAAGTGCATACATATACCTCTCGCCATTTCAAATGTTTGCATTGTGTTTTCAAATGCGGGGTTAAAATGGTGAGTATTTAATGTTATGTTTGTTGTTTTATTACATTGTTTTTTTCTACCGAATTCGGTCGTTGCGCGCAAGCGGGCGCATTGCTTGATTGTGGTGTGTTGGATTTTAGCGAGTTGTATGGGATGTGAGTTGGGAATGATAAGGAGGGGAAAGATAACCCACTGGAATTACAGTACTTATTGCATGTAAGAAAGTCATACATTTCTGGGAAAGCATTTTATTTTTCTTTTATGGGAACACAAAAAGAGTACCAACCGTTTAGCTATGGAAAAACTAAAAATACAGATCGATAGTACCTACTTTTAAGATTAAATTAGTGGTGACATACCATAACGCCATGGCCATAACCATTGACATAACCATAACCACATTACATATCATCGATTATAGGTACCATAACCATAAACAGCTGATTTTTCGTAGTTGACAATGTCGGTGTTGCCAGATGCGAAACAAGAGGCGGAAAATGTGTATCTAATGCAGCGTTTTTACTGCATTAAAAATGCAACATTTAGCACTTTCGAACATATGTTTTCGAAGAGCGTTCATGCTATAGCATTTAGCAAATGTACATTTACGCGAGTTCGAAATCGTATGCTTTTGACAAACAGCCGTGTTCCAGTCTCTTATTTAGATGCGTATATNGCTTTTACGCGTAAGCAAAAACAGCCTATAATATCGTAGAATACATACCTGCACAGAACTTTTACTATCACTAAACATTAAATTCTTAAAACTTAACAGCAGATCATAATAAAATATGTACATAAAATTAAAGGTAATAACTGGTACTTTCCTAATATAATTTTTTTTGCATTAATTATGAAATTTTGTTCAAAAAGGTTATTATATGAAAAAATACGATATTTCTTTTCGTTTTGAATATTTTTGGATTAAAAATATAATAAAGCATATAAATTATGGACATCAACAGAAAGATAAACTAATTGTCTCTATTTTGTCATCATTAATTTTTGAATCAGTTATGTAGTTCTAAAGATATTAATATTTCAAAAAATTAAAAACGTTTAATTTAACCTTTTATATCTTTATTTTATATTTTTGCACCAAATAATTTTGGTACAGTTGAAATCGGCGTGATTCTATCGAGCCACAGTTTTGGTTTTTCCTAGCTAAATGGTTCATATTCTACACTTATGCGAAAACGTTGGTCCTGAACAATATTATTATTTTTGTTTTAAACGTCTGGTAGCACGCACTTCAGAACTCAGCTGATATCGTTATGGCGGAAAACCAAAATTCAATTGATCTCTATGGCTATGTTTATGGCTATGGTGTTATCGTGTGGCACCACTTATCTAATACAGTATTGGCCATAAGGTTGGTCGGAACAGCTGTCTTATATGGTTATGGTTATGTCACCACTAATTTAAGCTTTAATACCATGTTCTAAACGCCAACGAAAACACTTTGAAAACGATCTTGGGTGTGTGGGCTGAAGGCTATTGTTGCTGATCACTCCAGCCGTTCCTGTTTTTATTGACATTTCTTACATGTAGCCTGTTCCCGTACTTCACGATTTGCAGGGATTAGAGGAACAGCGGTTTTCGCCTTTAATAAACCTTATGTGAACGTGGCGTACGGTACGAATTTGGACTAAATCCTGCAAAACCCGCAAATCGTAGACGTTCTGGAAAGCACAAATGCTTTGTTTACAGTTTTTCTCAAAAAAAAAAAACTAAATAGGTTATTTTATTTCATTTTATTTTTATTACCAACCTTTTCCTTTATTCTTATTTTAATTTGGGCAGCCAATTAACAATAAATCCGAACGATTCAACCCAACATAAAATAAATAAGTTTTTTTCTTCTAATTTTCGCCGCCCCTCGGCAGGCAATGGCAAACCTCCGAGTATATTTATACAATGAAAACAGCTTCTCATAAAAATACCATCGCCGTTCGGACTCGGCGTAAAACTGTAGGTCCCTCCCCTTTGTGTGACAACATCAAGGCGCACGCCACAATTCAGAGGAGAAGCTCCGCAAATGTATTATAGGGCGAAGATCGCCCTATTTCGGTAGCCAGTTCAAAAACGCCTTATCGCAGAAAACTTTTCTAGAACGCCCTATCTCAGAATTCGGTTTAAAAACGCCCTATCAGCTGCCGATTCAAAAGAGCCCAATCTCAGCACATATTCAATATATGTTTAATTTTCAGCTGATATAGGACGTGATGCTGAAGTAGGGCGATATTGAAAAGTTTTCTGAGATAGGGCGTTTTCAATCGCTGCCGAGATAGGTAGCTTTTCTACCCAGGAGTCGATATTTTATTTATTTTTTATTTATTTCTACATACTCTTTTATAAGCCAAGACTATTAAAAAACATAAACAAATTTAACAATTTTTTCATAAAATTACGTTTTTTTGGAAAAAATTCATAATGTAGATAGTAAAAGTTTTTACCTTTAATTTGATTTCCATATAATAATAATATTAAAATAAAAAAAACGTTCCCCATAAGAAGCCTTTATTAAAAAAAAAAAAATTAATAAAAAAAAATTAACCAGTTAAATCATTTAGTGCATTTTATGAAAAGCTCTTTTTCATTTCACAATTTAAACGGGGCCAAATTGAATTTAATATAATAACAGAAGCCACATAAGTATGTAAGTAACAGTTTCAAAGATTGAAAAAAGTTCACAAAAAATGTTCATACAAATTTCAAACTTTTTATTCAGAATTTTTAGAAAAGTTTCGAGTTCTATGCAGTTCAATTTTAGTATAATAAAGTGCAAATTTCAAGTCACTAAAAATTACTGTTTATTTTCAAGGATTTTTTTTTTTTGTCAAGGCTGTGCAGCATTTTCTTCCATGTAACTTATTGACAAAATCTATTATTATATATAAGATAATACGCAACACCTATCATAAAAAAATTCTAAAAAATCAACAGTAATTTTCAGTGCTTTGAAACTTGTACTTTAACGATACGCAGCTCTATTCCTTTGCAACACATATAAGTAACAACAACACTAACATGATGTCTAATTAGCCAATGGAAAAACTGCGTACTGGAACACCCTGCTGAATGGGAAATATTCACCACCTTTCTTCGCTAAATCACTCTCCGCTCGGCAGCGATTTCTTTGAAAATTTTTGGTATCTATTTCTTTACTTTCACAAATGTCTCTACATTGCATTCGTTTGCCTTTTTGTTTTGTTTATTTTTTTCCTCCAAAGTTCGGATGTGTGTGCTTCTCCTTCAATGAGTTACTTAACGGTCGCGCGCGCCTTTTGTAAAATAATGTCAGTCAAAGAGTACACAACTCAATGGCGCTAACATTTGCAGGAGCAGACGAATGTCAATGCGATACAAATTTACACGTGTATGTGATTATGTATTTGTGTGTGCTTATGCATTTTAAGTAGAGCTGGGAGTTCTATCCAGATTTTTTACTATCCGGATAATCCGGATATTCGAATATATAACAAATCTGTATATTCGAATCTCCGAACAACAAAATGAACGGATATCAACTGAATATTCGTATCNCGCGGTTTTGTATTTTAAACGACGATATGTATGTATGTATGTATAAAATATATGTAGTTCCCTCTATAACAGAAACCACATACATAAATAAAAGTTCACAAAAATTAATTAAACTTAAAAAAATTGTATCAAAAATTTCAAAAAAATATCTAGTTTTATATGGAGGAAAATGCGCTACACCCTCTACAAAAGGAACAGTCCAGCGCCTTCGTCTTGGTCTGCAGGCTGTATCGGAGACACATGTAGAATACGTGGTATGGTTAAGAGCACATCAAAGTCAAAAACGAAAGCACACCCTAAGAAAAAAATATCGATAACAAAAGCGATAAAAATATCGATAGCTAAATCGATAAAAATATCGATAAAAATATCGATAATAAAATCGATAAAAATATCGATAAAAATATCGATAATAAAATCGATAAAAATATCGATAACAAAATCTATAAAAAAATCTATTACAAAATCGATTAAAATATCGGTAACAAAATCGATAAAAAATATTGTTTATTTTATCGATAAGTTCCGAAAATATCGATAGCAAAATCAATAACAATATCGATAAAAAATTTCGATATCACAATTTATAAAAAATATCAATAACAAAACCGATAAAATGTCGATTTTTATATGGTTAAGTCCCGAGAATTCCTAAAATCAAGTTACTTGAAAGATATGCAGTTAAAAGGACAAAATCGAAATATGTATGTATGTAATTCAGTGTCTGAAATATATCAGAAACAATCGTATCATCGTTATAGCCTGGCTAGCTATACATATTGTGAAATAATCAGATGACATAAGGACACTAAAAAAATTTTCAAATATGTTCACTAAAATTTTATCGATCTAAAAATAATGTTTTTGGCGAGTGGTTATCGAATTTAATGTGAAATTTAAACATTTTTAAGATATATTAATTATTTTTAAAAGGTAAAGGTTAATACAACTTTTATATTTATAATATTTATTAACGCCGCTTCGAAATTTTCACATTTGAGCAATTGTAAAAAATCTGATTTTTAATCAAAAAGTTGTTTATTGTATCATGGATCGAACTATATTTATAGACAAATAAACATAAGTTGATTTTTGCTACTCTCTTATTGACCGCAGCTGTTTTCTCTCAAAAACTGGACGTACTAAAAAAATTTAGTAAATGCACTTAAAATCAGCATAAAAAAATCAATGAGTTCAGTTCCGTGTGTGAGATAAAATACGACCAAATTTTGTTGAACCGTGTAATTTTTATAATTTTTGTACAAAGTTTGAAATGTGCATTTATGTATGTATGTATGTATGTACATATATGGTTTTGTTATACATATACATATGAGCTAGATATTTACATATAAAAAGTTAACAAACATCAAATAAACAAAAGAAGAACAGCCAAAACTGGTCAATAAGTCGCTGGCTTAATTACTTGAGGACAACTGTACATTCAAACAAGTGTATGTATGTACTTATAAAATTGAAATAAA